TGTCGCAACCATGTTAAAAACTTCTATTAGTGCACATTCACCTTCTGATTTGTATCATGGCTATCACCACCTGTGCACTAATATTTACATAATATGAGTGATTATGCCAATCGATGTGTCCTATGGAAATGGTCGATTTTTTATGGTGCAGACACTTGTACCGCTTGACTGCTGGTTGAAGTCTGCGCACAGTAGCTGATCGGAGTTTCTTGAACGCGTCCAATGTGACCCGATCTGGACTTATAGGGTTTCCATGGACCAACAGAGATCGGGGTCGTTGGAGAGAGGGTCATATGAATGACTTGTGATCCTGTAAAACTCTGGCCCCTATTCTGCAGTAAAAGTCGGGGGTAGTTCAATTTATCGTGGTTTTGTATTCCGCCTGTGAGTAGTGCATATCATTTGTTTCGCGCTTCGCTTGTTGTCTTTCGAGTACACCTTAGGAAGAATTCGGATCACACATTTTTGGACAAAAAAGTCGCTTGCTTTTGATCTTATGGTCTGTAATTATGCATTCGAGACCACCTTGGTCTCTGCCTGGGATGGTTACAGTACTTGGTAAACTAGGTTGTCTGAAACATTTCGTGCCTTCGGGTTACCTTAGTAACTAAAATCCAGTTGGCCCTAGCGGTAACAAATTAGTTCAATAATGAGTGGGTACATCAAAGTGAAGTCTCAGTTTGATGGGAGACGAGGGTGAATGCAGAAAACTCAAAACCCTTCATTCATGTCGTCCACTTTCATTCAAGTCATATGACTATGCTTGGAGATGGATGCAACCCCTGCCGATGTTTCCAGACTAGACCTCTCCCCTTTACCTGTTATCTTTCTTTTAAGCCGCGGATTTTCATGATACTTTGGTTGTGTATTACCGGTCTCCACGCTGGTTTTTCTACCCTTGATGGTAATTAATGCTCAGGAGCTTACTTTCGTTTCCCCTGAAGGAAATTATACAGGGTCTTTGCAAGATTAATTGCTCGTCTTCCTCAGAACGGATGCGATATTCGATACCACGAAATTGCTTTGTTTATCCTGACCAAGTGATGATGAGTCGGCATGAAATCGCATTTTCGCGCGTCGTTCCGTCGATCGTATGGTTGTCATAATTGCCGAGGCTTCATATTTGCAATATTCACCGGATTGCTCTCTCTAGGACCTGCCGTTCCCAGGTGCACCGGTAACACAGCAGCCAAACCCTCTTGTACACAATTTCACTTCCTTTGTAAATTGTGAGCCTGTGAAGGCGTTGATGAGAGCAACCGCCAGCTTCTATTATTCTTTTGTTTGTTTTCGCTGGAACTGCATTGTCAGAACCTAGTTGGTCTAGATAGTATCTTAATCACTTCTAACTGTTTCAGGCCAATGGGGTTGTGGCTATTTCTTAAAACACTACTCTTCTTATCTTTCTTTTCATAGACATTTCAACCGAGGATCTGTTGTTTTTATCGGCGCCAATGTTCCTTGTTGTGTTCATCATTCACTGACCCCGAAATCGGAGGATGACGACGGTCCATTGCTGGCATTTAGGGCGTACGCTAACGTCGAACACCGAAGACCTTCAGTGCGTCCATTCAATACAGAAACTGGAGAATTTCTCTCCGACTAGGTCTCCCATATCGCAGTTAAAAAACTTGCATTTATGGGATATCAGTAGACCCTCCTCTGTCTTGATTCACCTACCTCGTACCGACACTCCCATGTTATTCGCCCTCCGTCCCAGTTACCACTTATATAGCGCCTCAAGCCACACTGATGCAAAATTACCCGCATTTCTATTTGATGCCACCCTTACGTTTTTCTGATTTTTCGATTGAAGTTCGCTTCGAAGCATGCGCATTCTTCTTTACGGAACTACGGATTCTGGTTATTGCACAGGACGCCCACACTGTGGTTGACTGAAAAAATGCCTTCTTTGCTGGACAATCTTCTTCAGTCTTATCTAGTTAAATGGCCGTTTACCTCCACTACGACTCTGCAACCTGTGTAACCGCAGAACACGCCAGTGGGAAGCCAGGGTCTTTCTATGGCATGTATATGTCGATGTTGATTATATGGTTAACGAAATACGGCCGTGACATGCTCCACTGATCAGCTCCTGGGAGCGTTTGTACGACACTACAACAGATGTTACGCTGAAACTTAGAGGAGATTATATAAAATGCCAGTGCCTTGGTGGTAGGTAACTCACGATTGCTGGTGCCCATTGATAGTCCGTCATTTTTAGGACTGCTGACGGCTTGCAACTGGCTTCTGTAGGTCCTTCCGTCCGTCCTATTACTATTGAATGTGCGTATTCACCCAGGTCTTGTCTACATTCGGCTCCACACAAAGCGTCCGCGACTCCGAAAGTGCGCGGGTGTCTCGTTTTTCCGCAGATACAGCACCGCTTGCATGTAGGGCATGAATATCTAGAATGGTTTCTTCCACAAGATTCACATTTCCCAAATTTCAGACAACCATGTTTTAATGTGCCAATTTCGTTATTAGCTCCCCCACCTAGTCGGAACTCCATGACTTGACGCAACTGCTATGGTCTCAGAGATTTGCCTTAACAATGCCAGTCATAAGTAAGGGCGTCAACATTGGGTTTAGTTATTTCCACGACATTCTTAAGATGCTCGTTCGACCTCATGTGCAGGTGACCACGCATGTACACTTGCCACTACACTGCGTTTGAGGTTAAATGAACACTCGCTCTCATTCACTCTGTAAGGCAGACGATAATATGATAACTTGCCTATGCACAACTTCAAAGTAGCACCGACCTGTTCCTATACGGAGCAGTTCCCTTTCTAACCGGATTTCCTTTTGTATCGTTCGAGTGATCCATACGGCGGAACAAAATAGCATGCCGGCAGTCGTACAACTAAAAAAGTCCTCCCTTGTGCCGGACAGGACGAACCAGAATCTTAACAGTGCCGCCCTCGTGCCATCCAATCGGACTGAAGACTACTCCTGTTGTCTCTCTTCCTGAATACAGACAATGAGTGCCAAACTCCTGTCCTCCCAAACTAGACGAGAACGATAAAAGTACCGGTGGAAAATTGTGTCCATACAAACCGCGCTAATATGTCTAATGTGTCTTGTGAATTGTAAGGCTCTTCACTGTTTCTCTGTTGGATTTGATATTGCTTATTGAGTAATGGTTTATCCGACCTGTACATGATTGATAAACTCCCTCTGGGTTACGTCTAGTTACATCTTGTTGGCATCTTCGTGGTCGTACTGGTTTTTTTCACGTCGTTAAAAAGTTCTCACCGGTAATCAGTAGACCCAACCCTACCGCACTTATACCCTTTAGTGTAAGCTAAGTTTGTGCAAGCATCAGTCGATGATCACGATATTGGTCCACTGTTTATCCGTACCTACCCCCACACGTGAGGTCGCTCCCTTCGATCAGTCACGACTTCCATTTTTACCAAATCTTATCACTCTACCCTATAGGACTTTGATATCTTCCGAAACAAGCTTTGGCATTCCTAAACAAGCAATCATTCAGCCCAGTTCCTCATTGATTAGTCGATGTTCCCCGAAGCCCGGCTACCAAAATTTGTTACAGTACCCACGTCACTGCATAGTTAGAACCTATCTACTGTTAAAGATTAACTAAATAGCAAGCTCGTGTCCTATTACGCTTCGCCGTAGAAAGAGCTTAAAAATGAGAAGATTTTGGGCACTGTTGCCTTTATCCTGCAATTGTTCCTCACTAAAACGAGTAACATCATACCCGGGCACATTAATTCACAAGCGTTTTAAAGAGACTATGAAGAAGAGTAACATGGCCATCAGTTAACTACAGTAAATAAGCGGCAAAGCCGAACATTATTTAGGTCAACAGAATTACGTAACAACAGAACTGCTGGGCACGGATCACATCTGTAATCCTTAGTTCCGTCAAAACCCCTGAAGCATGGATATTTATGGGCTCCGAGAAAGGAAGCAAAATGCTCAGCCTGTGCCTGGCCATGTATTTTAAACTTAGGGCGAATAATACGGAGGCCTATAATCAAGAATAATCTAATCTCTGAGATTGCAGTGGATTTCAGTTTCCGCAAGTCTAGAGAGGATCGTACTACGAGCTGTGGATATGAAACTACAAGCCCGTAACGAGCAATACTTACTGTAGAATAGCATGCTGCAATAGACGATGGGACCTTAGCACTCTTCAATTTCCATCCTATACGGCTCCGCTAGATCAACAAATAAAGGAATATAAAAAGGAGGCAAGCAAAAAGACAACACATGTGGACACAACTATATACTGACGCAATCAGGGATACATGTAGATGCTGTTCAATCGCATTGCACACGCACTAGAACAAATTCAATCCAAATGTCTACATCCATTTTTCTTACACTGAGCCTCAGTTCTCTTATACTCGGACCGACTGTGACAGCCATAGTACTGTCGTACGTACATGCGTCATCAAGTCCCTTGACCACAATTTGTTTAACTCTGCACACACAATCATTACGCTCATTAGGCCCCCCGCCGTCTCATCGACTGGACACGTACTTTTTGTGTGCGACTCACGCGCTGTCGCGCCTAAACCTTTCGTTACTTGTTGATTCTTATTAAGAAAGCCTCGACAGGAGTTTCAAAATTGCTTTCGTACTGATTTCCCCCTGATCACTATCATTTTTGTTATTGTGTGGCTATTCGCCTGTTTAGGCAAATTCATTGAAGGCAGACTCGCATGGTAAACACAGACATGGTGCATGAGGTGCCCTTAGATCGCTAGCAGTGTAGCAATGATTTGTTGATAAAAATTTGAAGGTGATCGGAAAGTTGAGATTGTAGATGCTGAAATGTCCCATAAGGCAATAAGGCAGACAATTCACTGATCTGGCGCAGTCTGAATACCAAAATATACTGGATCAATAACACACTACCAACCCATAATACTGTAAAAACGCCAATTTAAAAACTTGATGAATTGAAGATCCATCCCATTCTAGCTCAAGTTGGGTAAATTTGGACATTTGCCTCAATAAATCCGGCAAAACAAGACTTCTAACCCCACCAGGACATTTGCAAATCAAGAACCAAATTACTCAAGTGCACGCTGGGGACCAAAGTCCAATAAGAGTTCAGCTTACGCTCAATCAGGGTGTAGAGTAAGTAGTCTGGCCCCAGATGTAGCTTGTTGTTTCTCTTTGTTAAATAATTTCCGGTTACAGAGCACTGCTTCTGCCGATGCACTTTTGTTATGAGAAATGTACCATACCTTGAAGCCAATAGTTTAAACTCAGAGTAGCAATTCCATTTTCCCAGCTCACACGACGTTATGAAGATAAGACCAGTTTCGACTTGACGTCCAATAAAAGAATCAGAAACATGGTAATAACCGAGTTTCCTCTTTTTGAGCGGAGTAAAGAGATTATGTGAGGCTGTTTAAGGCGAAGCTTTATATAACTCGGTAGACGCTTGTCCCTACCAGGCTCTAGGTGGTTGATTCTGGTAGTCGGCACTCAGCCTAAATGGCTATTTGGGAGGCGAAATACCGCTTCTTGAACTAATAAAGCTCAACATGCACGGCAGCTTTTGAACAGGGAACACACCGCAGAACAAACGCGCACAAAAGGGAGCCAGCCAAATGAAGGAGGACACGTGATTTAAGGCTCCTAACTAAAAAAGAAGGAGACTAACCTAGAAGCGGGTTACTACGGCAACAGGGCCAAAAAACTGCACAAATTCATTGGCGCAAAAACAATAAGGTCAGACCTCACGTATTTGGAATGACGTCATTACCGGGACTCTTGAAGAGAATGATGACCTGGTTCAGTCGGCGGGTGCCGCAGCGAACTCTCTGAACACTTCTTCAACATCATCCATGTCAGTACACCCAACCAGTCACTCATTCCGTCGTTCGAGCACATTCAGACGACGGGTCCACCTGCCCATGCCAACCCCCGCCGACTTCATCCGGATAAGCTACAAATCGCAAAAACACGAGTTCGAACACATGCTCGAACTCGGCATCATCCGCCCTTCATCGAGTCATTGGTCATCACCCCTACATATGGTACCTAAGAAATCTAAAGGTGATTGGAGACCCTGTGGAGATTACCGTTCCTGCAACAACGATACTATCC